CATGTCTTATCACTCGTGCAACAAACCGAAAGTTCCTGCAAGTTACACCCCAGAGCACCCTCAAGGATCAGGTGGTTTTAACTACAATTGCCTTCGTGCAGTTTGGTGCTGCCAGGGATGGGCTGGATGCGGTGTCTGTGCCGTGGGCAATGGGCACTGTCACTCCCAATAGCACAGCAGGCTCAGGGATCATCTCCCCCAGAAAAATACCCATCACCCCTTTTATTAGAATATCCTGGGCACAGGGACCTCAACTGCTGGTGCCAGTTACCAGTGAAACGAGCAGGGGCAGCACCCGCAGCCCAGCACACGCACAAGGGAGGCTGCGAGAGCAGCAGCCTCACCCCCCAACCCCCCCTGCCCCGGGCTGCACCTCGGCTGCTCCTGGAGAGGAGTTCCCTCATCCGATGGGAGCAAGCCTCAGGCGTGGTGAAGAGGTCCAGGACACCAGGAGGGATTTCTCACCTAGCTGAACGACTTGTTATTTAGAGCTGGATGCTTGTGACTCATAAGCAACTTTCTGCCCTTTCTTCCTGTGTGTCTTTTTCATTTGACTGTGTTTTACCTGGAAGCTTTTGTACTTCCAGTCTTATAGCGAACTAATAAAGGTATTTTAAAACCTTGTTTCAGGTTGTGCTCTATCTCCGTTTCATTCAATCACCCTGTTTCGAGCAGGACAGATTAACTGTCTCATGCAAGTGCAGAAACCTCTGGTTTGGCTTCCTTAAAATAGCTCTTTCGCAAGAACAGCACAAGCCTGGGGAGAGATCTGTGTTCTTCAGAATCAGCGTAGGAAAGGGGCTGCTCCCGTGAGGGAGCCGAGCTCTGCGTTGGCTTTCTGTGCATGCTCCCTTCCCCGCAGCACATCCCGACTCCCCCATGCTTCCTCCAACTCCTCTCTCCTCTCTGTGCCCCAGAAGCTGCAAGAAGCAGCCCTGACAAGCCCAATTTCTAATTACACAGACAAAGTTATCCTAAAAGGGCTGTGTCAGGACTGCCAGCTGACCAAAAGCACCTTTCAAACCTCAGTGTCTCTGTCCAAAGGATGTTTTTTCAGCCTCTAAGACAGCAAGTTAAAAGCAATTAAAAACTAATATTGTGACTCTCTTTACCCTAGCTCTTGCATAATTAATTTATTTCAAAACAGCAGTGGCTGGCCAGGGACCACAAAACAGCGGGGGCTGCCAGGGCCCCAGCCACAGGCACGTTGCTCACTCTTGTGACCCATCCCAGGCAGGGGAGAGGCAGAGGGGGCAGGTCCCAGCTCTGCCTCCCCTTTGTGGTGACCTGGGACAGGTTTGCTTAGGGGGGGTACAGGCACCTTAAAATACACCCGGGAGAGACGTTGGGCGGCGCTATACCTGTGGTCTTGGTGGGCTTTAGGCGCCAAAACATTGTAAAAGCAGCAAAACTCATCTGCCTGTTGAGAAATGCAGAAATCATAGGTCCACAGATCACCTGAGGTTAGAGGGGGTCTCACAGGGCTGCCCCTCACTGCCACATCCCTGTCCCCACAGTGTCAGCACTGGGTCCCAGTGGAGGGAGTAGGGGACGGGCTGCCCTGGCCAGTGGTGGCACCTGGGTCCGTGGAGGAGCAACGTTCGGGAACCCTGGGAACCTGCTGGGAATTGAAGCAATAGGTTCTTGACAGCAAAATCAAGCAGAAGTGAAATGATGAGCTCAGGAACAGATGGTGACAAATAGGGGAAAAAAACCCCAAACAGACAAAATCTTGCATCCCTGTGCATTAGTGTGTGAGGCCTAAAAGGCAAAGAAATGAAACAAAACAGGTTCTCGGGCAGAGCTTCTGAAGCTACCTTATCCCCAGGGGATGCAACTGCCCCACAATTAGCACAGCTCCCGTATTCCCGAATCACACATCACATCCCAGAATGCAATTAGATTACCTTAAATACAGGGTCTTTAAGGGTAACACGCTTGAGATGCTTTCTAAACTTCCGAGGTGCGCTTTCCTTTGAGTAGGAGGAGGAGAAAAGCAAGAAGTATTTTCCCGCACTGCCAGAGCCGAGCAGTGAGAAAATGATCGAGTGTGGTAAGACCACAAAAAGCCCCCACAGCCATCAGCACAGGGCTATGAAGGCCTGGCATGGCCATCCTGCTTTCCAACACAACGTTTTCAGGAGGAAGCTTCACACGGGTGCTTTGGGGATCACCTGGGCACACATCTCTCCCCTGGGCAGCCTTCAGACCCCAGTCACCCGGGGGTGAGCCTCCCCTCTCAGCACAGACACAGGGCACGGCTAAGCACGGAGTTAGATGCAATTATCCTCTTTCTTTCTCAGCCTTATTATTTCTGCAGCTCAGTGCTTTCCCTTGGGATACACGCTCCAGAGTATTTTAGGATGTGATGCCTCCTCAGCTCCTGCCTCTGTCCATCAGCCCCTTTCAACAACAACCTCACCTTTAGCTTTCCAGTCTGATTATTTCACCTTCAATTCTACCCAGCTTCAGGTGCATCAAGCATCAAAGCAGCTGGTAGAAGCTCAGGGAAAAAAAATAAAAAAATAAAAAAGTCACATGGCATTTGCCTTCTCAAACCATCCTGTTACCCAATTTAGACCAAAAAGAAATCCAATCAGTCAAATCCAGTTCTAGCTGGGCTGTAAGTCTGGAAAATGGATTAAGCAAAGTGTCTGACATCAACAGCTTGATGTGAATGTTGAATGGAGTTTGTGAGAAGATCAAAGTATTTATACCAATAGATTTAAAAATAGGACTAAGACTAAAGCACCTTGACAGAAGATTACACAGTTGATAGAGGAGCGATTTTCCACTGGGTTGTGCCAGCAGTGCCCACCCTGTGCACCCACACCAGCTCTGCCTGGGCCAGAGGAGCTGGAGCCATCACCCACTGCAGAGCCCAACACTTTCAGCCCCACATTTTTGGAGGTTCCTGTTGCGGCCCTGGCAGGGTTAAAACAGGGGCCATCTGGTTGCAGCACTGTCAGCTCACTTTAGTGTAAGCATCTATTTCAGATTCTATCGAGAATTACATATTTTTTTAACTATATACTTACATTTTTCACGGTCATCATTATGTAGAAGCTGAACAGAAGAGACTCCTGCTCTTCATCTGCACCAGCATCACCATCTCTGCCTTGTATTTGTGTTATCCAGCTCAGCTGTTACACTTAACATGTCCCTTAAATTCATTATATCAGCCTTAAAGGCTACAGTTCTGGTCAGACGCTCCGGTCTCCGCCTTCATTCCAAGTGAAAAATAACTACTACAGAAGAGAGAGGATTTTAATAAATAATTCTTTATTAAACTCCCGTGTTACAAAAGCCCCGCCGGTGCCGGTGCCCGGAGCTCGGATGCCCTCTAGCAGCCCCGCGGAGGAGCGCGGCTGCGGGGCCACCGCCCGCAGGAATCCAGAGCATTTCAGCAAACCTGCCGCAACTAAAGATCCACTTCAGAATTGTGCAAGAAGCGCTGTGTGTTCTGTCGCCTGAGATGCTGAAATTTAAGGAATTAGATTTGTATCCTCTCGTGAAAACACTTGTTCACAATTGGAAAATCCAGTGAATCTTTTCTTCCAGGCCCTCAAGTCTGAAGATTTTTCTTTCAGATCTTTGGCTGAGAAACTATGGACTTGAGCGAGCTTTACAGCAGCATGAACTACAAGTCTAATCAGCTCTGATAAGTCAGCACACCATCAGCTAGTGTGTATTTACAGAGAACTCTTAAAAAGGCTATTGAGAAGTGGAAATGTATATGCATTTGAACTCTAGCACTGATTGTGTCTTACCCCGAATACTTCCTCATATTCCTGAATTTAAACATTGATTAAAACCCCAAGACCACAAACCAGTAACCTAATCAACTAATTATGACTCTAGTATCCCTCATCAAAGGCCACAGAAAAGGGACTGCAAGTCTTTTGATGTATATGATCTGGCCCACTGATCCCACGGGAAAATTAAAATAAAACAAACTCATTTTAATTTCCTGGGTACATTTTTCCTGAAAACAAACTAATAAATTCAATTAAGTTGAACCAAAATATTGATTCATCCCATTTTCTACATCCATGGAGGAATATGGGATAGAATAGCAGAGCTCAGCCTTCCACTTGTGCAGTTTTATATCTACAGTCTCTGGCTAAATCCAGTCCAGTGTAAAACCACTGTACAACTTCAGTAACTTGGATTTTCTGTCACTTGTTCCATTCCATGGTCCTGCCGATACAGCTGCACTAACCCTCTGGTTGCAGAGATGCTGCCAGGAAAACCAAAACTCTGCTCTTCCCTTATCTCTCCTTCCAAACGAAACTTCTCCCAGTGCAGCAAAAGCCCTGGAGCTCCCTGAGCTCATCAGTCCTCACAGGACAAGAAAAGCTGTTCTAGAGTGATGATTAAGAAACAGGGCTGAAAAGGAGCAGAATCACACTCGCGAATCACACCTCTAAAAGCAGCTGTCAAGAGGAGGGGCAATTTCTACTGCTGCTGAGTGGTTGGAAACACCATTTTTTCCAGCCTCAAAGTCTCTGAACAGGCAGAAGGAGCAGACTCTGGGCTGCAGGAGGGGGCTGGAGGGAGTTGCTGTTCCACCTGCCCAGCGCACACATTATGTTTTCCTCAACTCTGTCTCAGCTACCACTTATAATCCAGTTCTGATTTTTGATTGTAATAGGTCAGTGCTCAATAATTTTACATTAGCAGTAACTACTAAATGTGCAAACAGACACGCTGAATGTTGAAAGCCTGGCAGAGCATCTCCTCTGTTGTCACTTTGGGTTTAATGTGTTTCTCTCTGCAGGCATGGATGACGTAAGCACCAGTCTGCACTGGACACAGTACCACTGTGTCAGGATTTCTCACTCCCCCATCCCATCTGTCATCAGAACAAAACCCTGCCTGGGATCCGCTGCAACAAGCCACAAAAAGTTTGTTCCTTGGGGTGTAACCAAAAACCAGAGCTGGCAAACATGGTGTTGTGTACACAGAAAGACTTATTCATGGGCCAAAGATAGTCTCTGGGTACCAGCAGTATGCAGCACATGGGTTTTTAGATTGAGATATGGCTTCTTGAACCACAGAATTTTTATCTGGATGCTGAGATTGTATTAAAAAGGAAAGCCACTACCACCCTAGAGAAAGTGAGCCACAGTTGTAGTCAGCATCACTTTTTCAGCTGTATCAAGAGACTTTTCAAAACAAAGCACTCTTTCTCCTCTGCTCAGTGATCCATCCCCCAGGGTTTACGTCCATTTGCAACATCTTCATCACCCACTTGTCTTTCCTGGCCCCATCAATGAACTCATCAAGAGACAACTGCCCTGTGTAGGAGAGGAGGAGGACACAAGATGAGGAGACAAAGCATGACAGATAAAGGCAAGAAGAGGAAGGCAGGAAGCAAAACCCACCTATGTTTCAGAAACTGGGCTAATAAGAAAAAAGTTATTCTTCATTTCCCCCACATAGCTTAGTCCAGCGAGCTGAACGACAAACCATCCCACAGTAACACGAAGCTTTCACAGCCACCCATCCCGTCAGCCAACACAAAATGCTGCAGCAGCTCACACACACTTTTCCAGGAGGATTTCAAGCCCGGTCCTGCAACTCCATTTTGCCTGGAGCTTCTACCCAGGCTGGGACTGGGACCTGCACTCTGGCTACTGGGGACTTTCAGAGGATGTGTGGCATCAAAATCCAGACAGAATAGTCTTCTCTCTGTATCTTACATTAAAATAACAATGAAAAGTATTCTGTCCTGCTGCAGCAAGTTACCCTTGATTCTAACAAACAGACTAGAATCAAACCCAATGTGTCTAATATGAGTAACATAATAGTCCTAAGCAATTTCTTGATAGACATAATTAAAGCCAGTCTGCCCAGCATGGGTAACTTATTACACATGAACGCAATCTGAGACATCGATCACTTACCATCCCCATTCTCATCTACTAACTGAAATATCCTGTCCACAACCTCCTCTGGCGTGAGCAACGGGGTCCTCTCCTCCACCTCTGACCGACACACTTTCTTCAGCTTGTAGATGGACTGAAAAGAAGTTCACAGTTTAAGAGGAGGACTGGAAAAATGAGAAGCAGTGAACTCCATTATCTTCCCAACAGCGTAAAGGTCTTTTACAAAGGCTGCAGTTTTAACCTTTCTAGAAAGATCTGCTCTCGGCAGCCTCAGACCTTTAATGAAACCTCTGACCTTTTGCTCACACAGAGCAATTACTTCAGTTGCTCTTTGAAGCTGCTGCCCTCCTATTTTCCTTATACAAACTGCTCAGACCTCAGGGTTCCTTTGCAAAGAACAAGGGAAGAGTTTCATAGATGGGAAAATCATTTGACACTGAAGTAGATTTTTTCTGACATCTGAGGCCAGGCACATCTGGACTCACCCAGCCCTCTCTGGCAGGGAACTTGTGCTCAAGCTGCAAGATCAAACTTACATTTTGACCCATTTTTTTGTATTGCAACCTATAGTTCCCGTTCCACTTTCACTGGAAGGGGGCAGATTTTATCCATGCCTTCCATGACAACCACCTGTTCATTATTATTTCACCCCTTAGCCTGAAGGGTTTTGTCTGAGGTCTTTCCAGAGATGAGATTAGCAAGGACCTAACACAGTCTTGGCCAGTTCCTGGCTGACCTCAAAACTATATTTGCACATGCCCCAGACCCGCTCCCCTGATGCTTCCACACCAGCTGCTGGTGCTACAGGTAACAACCCGGTCACCCTTCCCAAACAGACCTACTTTCCACAGATTCAGCTTCTGATATCTCCTTGATACTGCATTTCACCTAAGACCCCAAAAGGTTTGGTGACCACTGGCTAAGCCTCACACCCACTGCAGCGTGAGGGTGACTCTAGCACAGCCCCCAAGATATTTACCTAAATTAAGCAGCCAGTTACCCTGTGTCTGACTCTAAGCCCCACGTCTCCTCTCACACCTTCACACAGTCACTAATTAGAGCTAGGTGCAGAGCATAACAGAAACCCACAAAGGAATAACTACAAAAGGCATTTCTGTGGTAATTTGTGCCTCTCATTGTATTCTCACCAGCTACTCAGGCAGGAAACTCTGGCTCCTGTGAAGGGCATGGCATGAAACCCTCTTCCACTGGCCAGTGCAGTGATCCTTGGTGTGAAAATATTGAAAGGCAAGGCAGAGCAGAGATACAGGAGCTCCAAAGCAGCCCCCAGATCCTGTATTTCTGGGCAGCTTCAGCAGCAGCAGAGACCAGGGGTCTGCAGTGGGTACAGCTGACCCCTGAGCCACCCCATCAGACTCCAAACCACTCAGCACACCACTCCTTTCACCAAGGTCAGGCATTTTCACTTCATCATCATCCCCAGCTGCCTTGAAACCTGATTATCACAAACCCCATATACATCATTACACTGTTACATTACCAAAGAACACTGATTGCTTAAATAAGTGATTAGGCAATGCCTACTTACCTCAACAATTTCCAGCAGCTCCGGTTTATCTATGCAGCCATTCCCATCCTTGTCATACACTTTGAATGTCCACCTAAGTTTGTGTTCCAGTTTTCCTCGTAAAACAAGATTCAAGGCAGCTACATATTCCAGAAAATCAATCGTATTATCCTGTAGAAACAGTAGAGCAGCAGCTGAATGACACTTAACTGGGTATAGATGATAGAAAACTGCTTACAGAACCTGGATAAAAGCCACCAAAAAGATAAACTAGGTGACAGCTATTTATCTGCCACTTCACAGAAGATTTGTGCCGGTTAGACCATCAGCAACCACAGCCATACCCCTCTGCCCCGAGGAGGAGTTCATGGGGAGTGTGACTGGAGAACAAAGCAATTCCCCGACAGTGCAATAAGGGGGAGACACCCACCAGGACTCCAGCACTGAATGACAAATACCCCAGCACAACAGAGATTGCACGGAGGATAGGGAGGGAGGCGAGGATCCGTGCAGGAGGTATTGCATTTTTGAGGAGGGATTGCCATTCTCAACGACCTCAGGTGTTTCACCACTGGGACCGATACCCAGCCACTACCCTTTCCTTCCACCCTTCCCCCTTGTTTGATCTTGATTCCTCTGAGGAGGACTATGACAGTGAAAATGTCTGAAGTAAACAGCAAGAACACCCACGATAAAGGATTTACATCCTCCTCAACGCTCCAGTGAAGGGATGCAGGGCTCCCTGGGCTCAGAGGCCAGTAAGCATAAAAGGACAATTGAGGAACTGATTTTATTTTCTTACTATATTATTGACAATCCTTTAGATCAGTAAGTCCTGCTCAACTGATTATATACCATAGGCATATTTAAATAAAAACATCAACCCAGACCTTTAGTGTTTGTAATATATGCAAGTACCAGCATCCCTTAAAAACAGATTTTCAGTCTCAGTGGGAAAACACCTATGAATCAGGAGTGGGACTTCGCCTTTTACACACCCCATTTGCTGTGCAGCTCTTTCTGTACAGCTTTCCTAACAGATTTTGGACCCAGATCTCCCGTTATTTGCAGTTAGGAATGCAGGTTTTGCCAACTTCAAATTCTGAGACAGATCTGACCTGCCCACAACTTCTACAGGTTTTTTTTGTATCCTTTCTCACAAATTGACTTGTGTTGTCACAGGTGTCAAAGGAAGCTTAAGGAAAAGAGGTGACAGACTTGTCTCCCCTTTTCTTACATTGATACACAGCAACAAATGCAAGCTCATACTCTAAGTATTATCAAGAACTCCAGGAAAATAAAGGAAAGATAAGACAAATGTATTGCATTTCTTTTGAATATCTAAAATGTCTCAGGCTATCTTTTGTACCAGTACATGGCTATGCACAAACTGCTACTAAACCAGAAAGCCCACTTTTCCCAGGTGTCTGATGACAAATGCAGCGACGGAAATCAAAACCAGAATGTCTGAATTGTTCAGCATTCCTTCTCTTTAAAGCAGCTAAAATCAACATTTTGTTACACGCCACATGTTCATACTGTATATATACACTTCTTCCAGCGTATAGCAAACCTGAATAAAACCTTCCTCCTCTATAATTGTTCCTCTATCATAATAAATATATGTTTTTTATTATGTTGCAACCTTGGCTATTTAAAAATCTTCCAATAATACTGTCTCAAAACACAACTACCTATGTTTCAGCCTTTTAATTCATCTTTAAATGCCCCCAATAAAGAGATATTCCATTCTTAACTTGTGCACAGATTTATGAGAAAATAAATCCACACCAGCCCACACAGAGCAGGGCAACTCATGCTCCTTCTCTGCCCTAGCAGGTCCATCATCCTTGCCTTAGTCTCACGGAGCACGGTAACAAGGGTAGGAATTGCACCAAAACACCCCCAAATTACCCAAAGCAGACTCCTCACCACTTACCCCATTCTTATCAAAAGCTCTGAACATGTTTTCAATGTAGTCTGCTGCTTCACGGTTATCCTGGACCCCAAAGAACCGCTTGAATTCGTGCATGAAGAGGGTCCCACTGGGACATTCAACCACAAATTTCTTATACCATTCCTGCAACTCTGCAACGTCAATCTCTGTTTGCTCCCCTTCAGCGTTGGTGAACTGCTGTCCCATTTTGCTCTGCAATGCAAGGTTTAAGAAAGAAGGAACAAAAAGAAAACCCTGCCAAAGTCCTTTGCTTGTGTTGTCCTTTTACCGCCTTTAATTGCTTTTTCTTCTTGCTGTCTTATGCCTTTATTTGATGTAAATATTTGGTCTTGATATTTCACCTCTTTTTCATTCCTTTTTTTCTCTCCTCCTTCTCTCTTGCAGTTTTCACCACAACAGCTCTGTGTGCTCCCTCGGTGACCGTGGAGTTGCTTCTCTGCATTAGGGTAGTACAGTGCGTGGCACGGGGCAGGTACAAAAATAACTAAGACCATTAGGAGATTCCTCCCTATTAGGCACAAAGACCTTCAGATGCTCTGAGCTGTGGCCTATTTAGGAGCAGGCTCCAGAGGCTCAGGGTCCCTCTGCACATTAATGCCTTCATGTCAGACAACTTGGGAGCTGAGGCTCTCCTTACACAACACACAACCCTGCTCACTTCACTGCAGCTTTTCCAGAAGCAAAAAGGGACTGTAAGTGAACTTCCCTAATGTTATTTTTTTCTATACAGGCATTTATTACTTGCTTGTTGGAGATACTCAATGTTTCAGTGAAATATGACATAGTACCAACAGCTACAGAGAGCAAATCCTGAAAAAAACAAGTACATACAACTAATGCCACTTACAAGAAAAAACTGCTAATGTATAAAGTTAACTGAATGCCTATCAGAGGCTTTATTCAATACAAAATGAGCAGGAAAACTAGCAAATGCATATTGGTACAAAACCACATATTACTCTGACTTTCACAACTTGCTCTTAGAACTCTATAAAATTTTATTTCTGCATTTTCTTAAATAATGAGTTCTCACTGCTCCCCTTCCTACTCTTGCACCCTTACCCACCAAAATACTCCTCCTATTTGCCCTTACCACAGAACATTGCTTACCACTTCTGCAATACAGACCTCTTTTTTTCTTTCCCCCTTTTATTGGGGCCACCAGCTTTTATCCGTATCACACCAGGTGTTCTGGACACGACCATAATGTGTGTCACCTGGGAGGAAATTACCTGTACCTATAAAAGCTCTGAGCCAAGCTGAGGTCCAGACACCCTTCTTCTTTTAAGAGGATTGGAACAGCATTAATAAGAAACAATAGACTTCATGTTAGAGCAATGCTAAGGCCCAGAATCATTTAAGCTGTTTCCTTCCTTAGATTTTTTTTTTCTACCCCAGTTACTTTGAAGAGTTTCTCACATGCAGAAATAGAGGCTAAGAATTAATGTAAAACTTGATACTGTAGAAGAATACAGCAACTCATGTGCCACTATAAGAATTGGATTTGCTCTGAATTTACTCACACCTGTAAGTAACCCAGTAGTAGTATTGGTTATGTATGTATGCATGTATAGCAAGAGATTTGTAGTAGTATAATATAACTTTATGCTTTTTGTCTATAAGAATACTCACATAACAGATAGGTTTGCTTAAAAGTCTTAAGCAAGAAGAGGATGTGGGCCGTACAAAAGTGTGGAGATGGACGGGAAGGACCTGTGGAGTTGTCAGAAAGACTGAGGCTGTTCTCTTTCAATGAAAGTGTATTTTTATCTAACAATGTAGAGGAATCTTTGCATCTAGAGGAATGTAATGTGAGCTCAATCCTTCCCTTTGTAAATGCTTCAGGTCCTGACTCTAAGATCACTTGTCTGCAGCACAGCAGCTTGAGGTCTGGCTCATTTTAAAAAAAGCTGTCTTGGATTTATTTCTCTACACTTGTCTCTTAACTAAACCTACAGGAAAAAAGTCTTTGGCAGCCATGGTTGCTGTGGTACGAGTAAAATAGTTCTGTTGCAGTCTCCATGTCCCCATGCTCAGCTGCATATAACATGTTAAGAAATAGCTTCTTCCCTCAATGATATTCTTGAATTACCTTGGCTAATACCTGGTGAGGGCATGAGTTCTCTCTGGGTCACAGACTGCTCTCGAGAAGTAGAGGTGCCACTGCTGGGACAGGGCTGCAGGGGGTTCATTGGGATTTTCTACACAGCGGGGCCGGGAACTGTGAATCCTTCCCCCATTTCATGTTGCTCCTGCTCCGAGGCTGCCGGCTGGAATGCGAGCACTGAGAGCATACAACAAGACTCCACATGCCCAGGATGTTGTCTTGCCTCATTGCATAATTTTGTTTTGCCTTATGGGAACTTAGTGATCTGTTCCCAGGAGAGAAAATGGTTCCCCTTTGTTTTGATGACTACGGTCTTTTCCAGCTAGGAAAAAAGGACTGCAGGAGACCTGGGTTACAGAGCCTAGCTTGTGCTATTGGAGGTATCATGACATACAGTTGTGCTGATAAAAGTCCTGATGTTAATTTAGCACTTAAATAGAGTAAATTCTATAGCTCCCAGTATGAAAATTCCTCTGCTTATACTCTCATTGTTCAAAGTGTGTACTCTCCAGACTGTACTAGAAGAGCTGCTGTCTCTCAGCCAGTAGAATGACACTGTATGAAGTACAATTTATCAGCTAAAGGATTTCTTCATTTGATTTGAAAAGAAAAGAGGCATTGGGGTAAACATAAGCAGAGAGAATTAAAAATAAAAGGGATTATTTCCAGAAAACACTACAATAAAGAGGTTGCTGCTGTTCAGCTGCCTGAAGGGTTAGGATCAATGCTTTATCTACCATGTCAGAGTGAACACTGGGGATGATTAGTTGCAAACAGGTAACATCTGATTACATGTCCTGCCTAATTAGCTATCCCTGGATTATCACCTATATAGCTCAAAAGCTGTGGAGTTTCCCAGCCAAGAGTGTGGAAAAAGACATCTTATTTCCCGTCAGTTCACGAACACAACATGCTGCCACATGCTTCAGCAGAGGCTGGTAGAAACTCAAGAAGAAAAAAAACAAACCACCAAACCCTGCAGAGGGCTGGGAAGACTCATTTGTTTGGCATCTGCGTTACCACTAGGGAAGGCAGCAGAGGCTGTAGCAAAGGCAGCAGGGTGCAGGCAGGCACGGCTGCCTGGAGCCAGGCGACCAATTCCAATGAAACTGGAGGCAAGACCAGATTCTTCACCCACGCTGGAGCAGCTGCTGTCTAGTCATTCGGCTGCATTGCTGCATTATTTTAAATGTCCCTGCCCTAAGACCCCTCTCGTGGATTGGGCAATCTCAGCTGTCCTTACAGGGGGCCTAGAAAGAGCAAATCCCTGCCCAGGGCTGCTCTGTCACAGACAGACCGGGGTGTGCAGGTGGGCATCGCTGTCAGTGTCTGCCTCCAATGCTTCCCCACGGATCAGACCACAGAGGAAGCAAACCTGGAGCATCCTTAAATTTAGCGGTTGCCAGGCAGGATGGACGTGTGGACAGGAGGAATGCAGGGAGGATGAACAGCAGCTTTTGTGCTGACCCGTCTGAGGAGAGATCAAAGATCTCTCATGCTTTGGCTTTGAGTTCAACCCAAAATCTCTCCCTGCCTCTTCCCAGTTGCTCCCCAAACTGGCCACATTGTTGCACGTTTTTATACGGCAGGAATATCAGCCTGGTAGAAGATGTTATTACAGGAGCAGCTGTCCATTGTTTTGCATATCAAAACCAGGCCAGTACAACTAACCAAAGCCATCTAAAATCTCCCATTGCAGTGCTATCCCACAAAGCAAATGCTAACCTTTGAGTGACACCCACTGTCTTTTGGTTATTGCCGGAGAGATTTTATTATGTGCTGACAAACTCTTACTAAATGTTAGTTCTGAGTAGCTGCATCTTGCGCTCGGCATGTTGCAAAGCAAACTTTCCGAGAAAAATGCAGAGTTACGTTTTCGTCTGTGCGTGAAGATTTTCAATGCCCTGGCACAGGACAAGAGTTTGGGATACGAGTCAGCCTTTCCCAAATCAGGGTTTGACACTATCCCTGCTGCTCGTGATGGGAAAGAGAAGGGAAATTCCCACTTTTTTCCTTTTTTTTTTTTTCTGGTTGGTTGATACTGAATAGTAACGTACTGTACGATCTCCTGAAACCGAGATTCATCCCTGAGTCACGCTCCTCCACCTACGG